CAAAGCCCTTCAGCATAATATCCCGCCACCCGATCTGCGCTCCAGCCAAGCGACTAGACCGCGTCTGATTGTCCGCAATAATTACGGGAACGCGAGACGACGCCATCTCGAGGGTGTTTGCGCACCTAGGGTGTGAGGACACAAAGCCACGAGGGGAGCGTCACGATTCTCGCACTTTAAAACGCACTCCAGTGCGTGTAATCCACTTTGGGTGAAAAGCGACGTGGAGTTTTAATAGAGTCATTATGGCAACAGAAGAGTGACAATCTAATATAAGTAGAGTAGTAAGATTAAATATAAGTAGTAGTACAGCTAAACGCAACTAAGTAATATATAACTCTATTCATGATACGAACACGTAATGGAAAATTATCACTAGTGATTGCTTTAATAATAATAATAATAATAAAAATATCTTTATTCACATAGACGCTTGCGCGTTCTTATGAAACGTCAAAATTTTACAAGAAATTAACACGTTCGTAAGGTACCACCGGTTCGGAAAGCAGTTTCTGTTGAGAAGAAACCGGCAAGAAACTCAACAGTTGCTCTTTTTAAAAAAATCAGTTTACAATATAATAGTACATGTACAATAGTCTTGTTTTAGCCTACGTGAGTATCAACAGTATTAACCCCACACATTGGCGTCGTCAAGATATTCGGCAATAGTATAATAGGCTTTAGCCATAAGTGTACTTTTAATTTTTCGTTTAAATTCATCAAGTGGCAGACTTAACATCGACTGTGGGATTTTATTATACATGCGCACACTTTGCCCCATGAACGATCTGTTTACTTTTTGTAGGCGAAATAATGGCGTAGTTAGTTTGTCCTTATTTCTAGTATTTAGTTTATGTCTGTCACTATTCTTTTGATAATTATTAATATTCTGTTTAACATACAAAATATTACAATAAATATATTGAGACGCAACAGTGAGTATATTAATCTCTTTAAAAAGATGTCTGAGTGTATTCCGGGCTCCGATGTTATAAATTGCTCGGACAGCTCTTTTTTGAATAATAAATATTGAATTTATATCAGATGCACTACCCCACAACAAAATGCCGTACGACAAGATGCTGTGAAAATAACTGTAGTAAACAAGTCTGGCAGTGTCGATGTCTGATAGCTGCCTAACCTTCCTAATTGCAAAAACAGCGGAGCTTAACCTACTCGCAAGAGATGATAGATGGGGACTCCATTGGAGCCTTGAATCCACTGTGATTCCCAAGAATACAGCGGACTCAACAGGATTAAGGGTTACGCTATTCAATTTTAAGCTAAAACTTTGCCTTCTTACGTTGGGAAGGGCAAAAAGAAGGCATTTAGTTTTTTTAGCATTTAACACCATATTATTAATGGTAAACCAGTGGAGGATACGCGAAAGTGCACTATTCACGTCGTCATAATTCGATACATTTCGGTCAACCTTAAAAATAAGCGATGTGTCGTCAGCAAACAGTACAACATCACATAACTCACTGGCATAAAAGGGGAGATCATTTATATATACTAAGAATAATAATGGGCCCAAGATCGATCCTTGTGGGACACCCATTTTCATGGGGGACCCTGCGGAATTTACATCATTTATAGATACTTTTTGAATTCTATTATTAAGATAAGAAGCAATGAGATTGAGGGCGATGTCACGAATGCCATAATAATCAAGCTTTAGAAGGAGGGTTTTGTGATCCACGCAGTCGAAAGCTTTTGAAAGGTCGCAAAAAAACACCTATTGCATCTTGCGACCCTTCCCAGGCGTTATAAATATGTTTGACAAGTGCGATACCCGCATCTGTTGTCGATCTGCCTTTAGTGAATCCATATTGCTCATTGTGAAAAATTTTGTTCATATTAAAATGTACTAAGAGCTGATTTAAAATTAGTTTTTCAAAAATTTTACTCAGAGATGGCAATATGGAGATAGGTCTGTAGTTTCCTGGATCATTTTTATCCCCACTTTTGAAGACGGGGATTATCTTACTAAATTTCATAAGATCTGGAAATATTCCAGATTCTATGCAGTTGTTAAAAATATTAGCTAAATGTGGTGCAATATATGGCATTATTGTGGTCATTAATTTTATGGACATGCCCCATAAATCCCCTGTATTCTTAAGATTAATAGAATTCAAAACTTTTATAATATCATAAGTATCTACGTGATTAAATTTAAATGTGTGGGGACAAAAGGTAACATTATTTCTTAGAACGTTAATTGCATCTATGGGAGATGATTTTAATGTACGTGTGACATTAACTGCAATTTCTGAAAAATAGCTTTGAAAACTGCTTGCAATTTCATTATCTGATGTTATGGGAGAATTATCTATAACCAGTTTTATAGGTTCCCTGAATATCTTGGGTCTTGCAGATGTACGGGTAATGATGTCCCATGTGGCTTTAATTTTATTGTTTGAATTTATTATTCTATTTCTTATATGAATAGATTTTGCCTGAATACAGACTTTTTTAAATATTTTTGAGAACATTTGTACCCTTTTATGAAAGTTGGGGTCATGATTCCACTGCCTCATATTATATAATTCATACAGTGAATCCCTACTTTTATATATACCCACTGTTGCCCAGTCACTAAATTTTAATTTTGAATTTTTAACAATTGTGTGCGATTTAAATACATCATTATAAGAAGATATGAGGAAGTCAACCATTGATTTATAAGAATCATTAGGATTATTGACTTCTATATCTTTATTTAACATATGATGTGCCACTTTTTCTTTAAAAGAATTTATTCTATTAGTAGTGACTGGTCTACACTTGATCTTATGTTTGCTTGTAATAACTTTTTCATTTATTGAAAATTTTAAACCAAAGTGGTCAGAGCTCAGATAATTTATAACATATTTATCATATACATTATCGTGGCAGAAAAACGTTATCTATACATGTGGAGGATGAGTTTGTGACACGAGTTGGTTCATGAAAAAGATTATTAAGTTTAAATGAACTAAATAAATTTAAAAGTCGTTTACTAAGATGTGTCACTTGTAATAAATCCACATTAAAATCTCCACAAACTACTATTGATTTACTACTTGAACAGAGTTTTTTAAGTACATCATCCATTACACACTCAAAGAGATCGAAATCACCTGACGGGGGTCGATACACGCATACTATAATATACTGTTGACTCTCAACGCAGGATAATTCTATAGAACGTTCGACAGAGTGTGCTACTATATCCTGTCGATTTTTACAGACTATATCAGTTCTTACTAACACAAGAGAGCCACCGCGAATAGCATTTGCTCTTACGAACGAACTTAACAATTTATAGTTCTCTATATCTATAATATTAAAATGCTTATGTAACCATGTCTCTGTGAAGCAGATGACATGGATGTTAAATCTTCTAAGAAATAGCTCAATTTCAGGTTCTTTGCCACCTATGCCTTGTATATTTTGGTGTACAATATTTAATTTAAGTGGCTTAGGTGTTGTCTCAATGTTTAGTTTAAACTAACATTGTTTTTTGTAAAATTATTGCTAAGTAAAATGTTCTTAGTTGTACAATGTACAACTGGGTTTTGTATATTATATGCTACTAAAGTAGCAATTATTTTCTTATAATATAATGGCAAATACCAAGTATTTTTTGTCACCTTAAAACTAGACTTAATAAAACTATTTATGTCAAAATAAAAGAAAGCGTCACTATGACGGTGAGTTGTATTATATATAGTCATGTTAAGACTATATATGTCTTTATTTTGTTCCTCTGTAAGGAAGGAGGAATATGGAAATGCGCATATTATAAATTTACACTTAGTCTTGTAATGTAAGCCCAGTAATATTTCCATATTATTGATAATTTCCTGTTTCCTAACAGATGAACTATCCATGAAGTAGTACAATAGTACTATTTTCATTTACATTCAATGTCAAGATTTTATTTATATTTTTCTGGAAACTGGCACCCGGTGAACATATATTGCATACATTATTTATATGTTTTGAAATTAGCGAACCAAAACCTTGCCCTATGTTATCTGATACAATTGTAACATTTTGTTTAGTATATATTTCATTTTCATTGTTATTATATGACGGTTGATTGTATTCATGTATGACCAAGTCACTTCCTATCTCCTTAGGTATATTCTGAGTTTTTAATTTGTTTGGAGATTGTGATTTGGAGCAACAACATGTATTTTTGCTTGTAAATGATTCAAATCTATTATAATTATAATTAAAAAGATCTAGATTTAAATTTTGATAGAGACGATTGGTCATCGGAAGGTTTGTATTTTATAAGCTTGTACATGCATGGAATATGTTACCTATATAATCTGTAGGTAACATATTCCATATTATATCTTAGTAGATTTGCTGAACGCATAAATTGGACAGTAGTAAAATATTGTGAAATTACTTATATGTTACTTACATATTTTTATATGTTACTTTTAACATGTAATACAATTAACAATAGTGCATGAAGAGCTGAGTTTATTATATTTTTGTATCTCTGTTTAGTTTTCGTTTAAAAATTCATCCCTTTTCCGAATTCTTCCTTATTCCTCTAACGACTAGTCCATTTTTTTTTTTTTAACGGAAAACAAAACGACTTCAAATATCTCGCTCTACATACATTTTAATCAATTATAAAATGTAATTTCAGGAGTTCCCTTATTATCTCCGGATTCCAAGATCCAATGCCAATGAAATTAATATGGGAACACATGAGAATCAACGGCTGTTCAAATAAAAAAGAATCATCAAAATCTGTCCTCTCAATCGTCTGAGGTAACAAACATAAAAAAAAGCAGCCGAATTGGGAACCTCCTTCTTTTTTGAGGTCGGTTGAAAATACCACGTGCGCAGCTGCGAGGCTGTTGACTACAGCGCCGATGGTCGTGGGGTGTCGATTGGAAAAGATTTTGTGTGACCCAATGATAGTTGTTCCAGCTCTGGGTGTTTATTTCGGTGCGGCCGGGCCGTAAGGGGTTGTATTCGCTTACTTATGTGCTTACTTGCTGTGTTTGCTTACTCACCGTTCTGTTCCCTAGGTTGCGCACTCTGCAGCTGAGGTAGGCCGATTTCCCGACGAGGGCTGTGACGTTCCGCGGCGTGGAAATGTCAAACGACGGCACCAAACGAGAGCTGGTGCCACCTGGGAGCGCGTTCATCGACCCCGCCCCGCCCGCCACGTCGCATTCACCTATTAACAATTTTAAACCATCAACATTTGCGTAATATACATAAAAATATATGCAATTATAAAGTAGATAGACTGGTTTATAAAAATATAGGAGTTGAAAGAGTTTTGAGACTGCCTACTCTTCCGGATAAAGTGTCAGTTTTTATATGTCGCAACTTGCTGCTATTCCGGTTTCCGTCTGTAGATAAACAAGATTAGTGATTGTGTTCATGGTGTGAGGTTTATACTGAGCAAGTGTTGGTAACATTTAATGAAGAGTCATTCGATAATCGACGATTTGTTAAAAAAAACCTTATAATGTTAGAGAGTAGACACGGTCATGTCCGTCTGAACCAAGAACACGGGGCAAAAGAATAGATTTTAACCAAATAAATGTATATACAATCTTTATTGATCTAATATTTACAAGACTAAAACTATCTAAAATTACATATTATCTAATAAACCTAATCCACGCGGCATGGTGCCAAGAACGCTAGCTGCATTTCCTCGCTGAATAGTTATGCTTAACCTTTGAGCGAGAAAAGAACCAGCTCTCTTGTCACCAGCCGCGGCGTTAAGCCTAGGACATAAACTTTAAAAAAAAATTGATATGCGGGGACCCCACGGACCTAAAGTTTCAAATAAATTAATAAATATAGAATCTCACTCTGTACCTATTAGAGTGGTAACAGTACACAATTTGTCATATCACCTTTATTGCTATTTCACTAATTGCAACAAAGTATGGATTGCTGTATTTGTTTGGTTGCATGTTGACCTTACATTAAGGCTTACCATTAACCAGGTTTTCCGTAGCTAAAGCTCTGTGAAATTCTTCACTCTTTACTCTAATTTAAACAGATAATATTTTGATAATTTTCCCGTTAGGAGAAACGCCTCCAAGCGAATTTTTTTGGGTCCCGTAAAGAGTTTCCTCTTTGACCTTTTATTACGTTTTCGCAAAGCAATGGCTTCACCTGAAGCGTATTTCTTTAACCTGATTAGTTGCATTAACCCAATACACAGATAAAACAGATTAGAGATATAGTCATGATAGAGTCTGAGATTTACGATTTTTAAGCCCTAAAGCGTGATGACATGCACGTTACATGCCCGTCGCATACATGCGTCTGTAGTAAAAAAGGTACATTTATAGCAACCGAATATTATATTTTAGATTCAAAGAGGATCTTCTCAAGTTCATTTTCAACAAGAGACCATTCCTCGTCTTACTGCGTAATAGCGTGAAGGACCGCTCCGAGCCAGATTAATAAGGGTCCTGTTTACGCGTAAAATAAATTACGCAGTCCTAGTTTGTTTTGCGAATTAAAACTGTTTTAATTAATCCGGTTAGCAAAATTCGACTTCAAAGGCGTGCCGCTCGCATTATTACGTCGCTTTGTGTGAGGGTAGACCCTGTTTACGATTAGATTACTGCTTATTAGAGCTCCGAACTATTTTCAATTTTCATTCGTAAACAAAGGTGCCCGAGGACATACGAGTACCTTAATGGGTACCGTACCCAAACTACGTTTGATAAACTCTATTAAGCGTTTAATTCAAAATTTAGAGCACGGTTGGCTATGCAATACATGTTGATGTGCAAATCCTAAAGCTTAATTTTCTCCTTCAGTAAATGCTTTGAAAGAAGTGATAATCCTGAGGGGCAAGTAAAAGTTGCTAGTTCTATAGTATAAAGTAATATATCAAATCAAATTAGGCACTGAAACGCGAGGCTTCTGTCTTGCATTACACGTAGGAAATCCAAAAGATCGAATTAATTACATAAAAATTTTAGCCCTGATTTCATTTTTAAGGTTTTTTTTTCATTCGAGGTCAGAGTAACACACAGAAGTCATCTTCAAAGAATGTTTTGGCTTTGTTAAACTACTAATATTCACTCTGCTATTTTGTCGATGACGAAGTTCGAATTATCTGTTCATATAATAATGACGCCGCTCCAAAATAGTTAGGTTAATATATATTTTGAAACGACGTATTGTATCCCTTATTTAGCATACACTATTTCATAATGAATAATTTCACCCTTAATGTACCCGAATAAAGTTCCAACAATAATATATCTTCATAGAATATGTTGTATACATTTAATCAAAACAACAAACGCCCGCTAGCAATGTAACCACTTTATTATCGCTACAAAAAGTAATACGTTGAAAATTTATTCACGTTGAAAATATTATTTTATGTTATATGTAAAGTATACAGCAACAAAGTTTACTTTGTTGATGTTTATTATACATACAACACAACTCATATCACACGAGCGTCGCATTAACTGGGAGCCGAATAAAAAAAAGGCACGCCATGATTTTGCGTGTAGTATAAGACACAAACGACCATTTTTGAATGTGGCTTTATACATTTCGGTTTCTTCATGACATTTTCTTCCGAATACGTGATAAATGAAGACTTAAAACTTTCACTAAACATTTTTAACTTAGATTTAGGTTAACCAATTTTACTGCTCAAAGGCTACGGGTCAAAGATGGCCGTACACTTAGCTACGACGGTAAAAGTTTCAAATTAAAAATGAAAAAGTCATGCGAATCAAAAACGCGTGATGTCAACGCGTAACGATCGCAAGAGATGTCATTAATCACTAAATAACAGAAAAAATGACTCGACATCAAGTTCATCAATTCCCCATCAACGCTCCTATGTTGATGGATGACGCTTTGGTTGTGCCGACGAAACGATAGGCGCAGAGAAGCCTAAAAAACTCCGCGGTAACTTCACGCTACTGATGCCCTTAAACTTACTACCATCTGGTGGTAGAGTTTTTTGACTATCAATAAGTGAATGCTTCTATATTGAATAAAGATATTTGACTTTGACTTTGACTCTGCTTCGCTTAATTACTTGGTACGATTCCTTCGATGAGAGTGAGATTAAATTAATAAATAAATATTTAGGATACATTTATATTTACAACTGAGAAACGCTTGTACTATGCGTATACTAGAAAACTGATAAACATACTTTTCATTTGTAAATAAGTACATGTTATAAGTATATAAACACCCAGACACTGAAAAATACTATGTTTATCACACAGTATTATTCCACTAATGGGGATCAAACCCACACCCTCTGGCCCAAGAGGCAGGTGCACTGCCCACTACGCCAGTCGGGTCGTCAAATTTTTGTAGAAAGAGTCTCAGTGGGTCTAGAACGTTTTATTTCATGGGTAGTTGTTGTTATTTCTTTTTTAAATCGTTTAGCTTTGTGTAAAGAAATGCCAATTTATCGCGCCGTGACCCATCAGTTTTTGCCATTTTCTGTAGGCAAATGTCGCTATTACACACGAAACCTCTTATTTCCTATATAATTATTTATTCAAAAAGTATACTGTTTGTTTATATACCTAATAATATTACAAACCTCAAAAATTTTAATAACAACTGCTATTTATAATAAAACTATAACCAAAATAAAAAAAAAATATAATTTGAATCGGCCGTCCTGAACAATTACAATTTTGCAGACGTCACGTTCTACGCAGGGTGCGAAATGGCTTCAATATCAAAGTAGCAAAGTACTCTATGTTTATATACGGAAAGAGGCTAAAAATCAGATTTGACTCCTCAATGACAATATCAAATTCAAAAAAATACCATGCCTTCGTTCTGACTGCTGAAGGCAATATGATAAAACGCAGAAATAACATGAAGATTCTTTAATAAACATTTATATGTAATCGAAACATAATAACGTTGTAAATTAAAGTACATCTAAGTAAGATCAAATGATTTATTAAACTCAATTAGGTAAACAAAATATTCTGTTGGATGTTTTTGTAATCTCGCGTTAACTGGCAGAAGGCGCGATCCGGGCACCGGCGCTACCCTTCGACACTGTAGATGGCCTATACTCTTAAAGGACTTCTCGGCCCATTATGAAACTTGACAAGGAATATATATACACTATTAACTAGTTTAAAAAAAAATAAAAAAATTAAAGTGCTCCAACTTTGTGAAATTCAAGTTTAAAAATTTGAACATGATTTTTTTTCAAAAAAAAATTTTTTTTTTTATATCCAAAAATGCAATTAAAAAACTCATTAAATAAAGCATACACTTGACTACTTCATTTATTTCCATTTATCTTTTCAATACCGGACAATGGGATTCGAAGTGACGCATACCTGCCGATTAGTCATATTTTTAAAGCTCTCTAAATCGTAAACTACATTTTATACTGTAAAAATATTTTGTATCTGGATTGAGGAAACATATAGGTATAACATAATCGAATATTACTAAAATCGGAAACATCAACTTTTTTTAACTGTCCGTTTCGCGTGGAATGCCCCACTTGCATGTACATATAATAACCTAAGCCTGATGACCCGACTGGTGCATTGGTTAGTAAACCTGTCGCTTGCGCCAGAGGGTGTGGGTTCGATTTCGGTTCCTCTCTACTGTAACAATGTTATCCGAAGAACATTGTCTTTCTAGTTTCTGTGTGCTTATTATATCCATGTTTGTTTGTTGTATGTTTCAGGATATGTGTAAAACATATCCTGAAATATTATTTTTTTATTAAATTCTAAAGAAAGAATTATGACATCATAATATAAACATAAAACAATAAAAAAAAAACTCGCCTCATGAAAACTCCTTTTAACTTAGAGGAAATGGTAGATAGCTAGCAACTATCTTCCTTTTTTAACTAATAAACGAGTTATCAAGAGGTAAAACGAGGTAAATCACTAAAGAGATTTCATTTTAGCGAGAAATGTCTGAGTAAACTGAACTTAAAACGACCCCAACACTCGAGAAGGCGAACAAAAGCAGTATTTACCGACAAAGATCTAATTGAACTGGCCTTTTTAAGTTTCAGTCTGGTTCTTGTGTACTGGAACTATTTTAATTAAGCTTAAAGAGATAACAATACTTTGAAGTTACGTCGCTTACGTTTTTACCAAGTTAAACTGATTTAATAAAAGTTAGCTTAACGTAACTGCCACTGTTTACTATCAATCTCGTTTAAGAACTTCAAAATATTTAAATTACTTGCGCTAAAAAATCGACACAAAATCCAATGACATCCATAGTACTTAAATATTGATTTTCTTTTTTATTGCTTGTCTGGTTGAATTTTATGAACTATTGTATGACTGGGTTCGACTATTTTTTTTTCATTATTGATAACTCTGTTGTATTAGTTCAAAGTAGTAACTCGTATGGGTTTCGTAATCTCTGGTGCGTATGTTTGCTCCGGGAAACATTAGGCAAACATTCGTAAATTACCCCAGCGGCAAAGGAGAGTCCTTTCATAATATAGAGTATTATGGAAAACATATATAAAAACCAGTTTTATGCTAAATACCAGGTATTTAGCATTCTCTTTTCAATTTTCAATAAAATCAAGTGTATCAACCTAAAGAGCCGTGATAGCTCAGTGTCCGGGCGCTCGCCTTTAATTCAATATACTCGAGCAACCTGAGTTCGATCCCCGGTGCCGGCACCAATGAAGTTTTTAACTTTAAGTGCTGACTTATCACGTACTCCGGGGTGAAGGAAAACATCGTGAGGAAACCTGCATATTTTCGAAATATTAAAAAAATATATTTTTCGAAGATATGTGAAGTCGAATATATTGGCGGCAATCCGCAGTGGGGCCGCGTGGTGGACTATGCCCTGATACCCTCTGTATAGAGGAGGCCTTTGCCCAGCAGTATAGGACATGTATAGGCTGTTACTTTACTTTACTTTTGTCAACCTAACTGATAAAGTAAGCGATAAGGCCGCACTGGGTTGTTTGTCACTTAGCGCTTTACGCTTGATTTACGTCCTCGTCTGTCGATTTCCTGAGATAGTATGACGATAGTGCAATTCAGATTATCTCTATGTGACAGCGCTCACAGCGCCTCAAAATGTTTCGGCTTATGACGTATTTAAAATATTTACCATATGAGATCACGATACACATAAATATATAAATTATAATGAGTTGGAATTAGGTCCTTTTTGGTGAAATTGGCA